ATTTCTCTCCCCATTTTTCTAAATTCTTTCTTCTTTTTCTTTCTCTCTTCTTTGCTTTCTTCCTTTTTTCTCCTTCTGTTTATTTATTTTTTTAAATTTCTATCCATTCTTTCTGTCTTTCATTTAATTTCTTTCTTCCTACTTATATTTTCCTTTTGTTTGTTTATTAGTTTCTTTCTTGCATTCTTCCTGTTTCTTTTCTTTTTTTCTGAGTTTTTCCTTTTCCTCTCTTTCTTCTATTTTCCCCCCTTATTTTGCTACTTTTCCTCTTAACTTGACATTCCTTTTATCCTACCTTCCTTTCTTTATTCACCATTATTTATTCATTCATTTTTTTCATTTATTCATTCATTTTTTATCTTTTTGTTTTTTTTCTGTCTGTATGATTAGATATATTTTATCTGATGGTTTTGTTGTTTATGATACCACAAAATTCAGTTTGGTCTAGGTTAATACATTTTATTATTTTATATTTCTCAAGCCTAGGTGCACATGTATTTCATTTGCTTTTACGGACATGCATGATGTGTTACTCATAGCACTGTATGGATGGTAGTGAAGAACGTACTTTTTTGTCGGTGCCTGATGTTACACTTTAACACTGTCATGATGGACAGTAATACCTCAGTTTTAAGTACTCCTTTTACATTGACGTGGATATACATGATGTGTTATTGTTTTATCTTTTGTTCTTTTCTTTTTCTGGATTGTGGAGGCACTGATTAATTTGTCTTCCCTTTTCACTGCTATGATAATGGTTTATCCATGGAGTTCTTTGATTCAAAGGTAATTTGTTTGGAGTGTTCGAAGAAGGGGCCAAAAGTGTTCCAATTTTATTTGTTTATTTATTTGTTTATTTATTTTTGAGTTGGGTCACTATTATACAGATTGATTTTCTTGAATCAGCATTCAACAACCAGTTTTTGGGATGATAACATTCTATGAAGCTCAATGTTTACATTATAACTAGGTTATATTGTATTTATTATATCATGAAGTGCAGAAGTACATGAGTTCTTGAGATTATAAACATACATGGCACTGTTTAATTAGAGCTTGCATGTGTATCACGATGTGTATATTATTGTATGTTGCATCTTTCTATTGCTGTAGAACCCTTTTAAGAGAACCTCTTTGCTTTTTCTGGGAAAATATGTATATGCAATTGATATATGTCTAAAAAATGTGCATCTATTCTTAAGTAGGTTCCATGAGCATTGTAAAATTCACTTGTAATTGGATATTCTGGAGGGTAAAAATGGACTAAAGGTGTAATTTACTTGCTTCAGTTGAAAAGGAAGGTTGATGTTTTTGTGTAACCTTTTATTATCCAACTTGGGCATTCAAAATAATTTTCTTGAGAAATACAGTTTTCATGTCCAGAAGTTTTCAAATTTTGGATCAAATATTCTAACAATTGTAAGAATACTTGTTGAAACTATTTAAAGCTCAGTGGTAAATTGAGGGACTGACTCTTTACTCAGAGTAATTAATCATACATTTCTTAGAAATGTAAAATTTCCATCAGCAGTGAATATTTGAATGTGTTTGAAGAAACGAGCGATGTGAGCTATTGTGCTATATTTCTTTTCTTTCTGGTTCTTTATAAAAGAAAAATATTACTTTAATGGCATGCACTAATCAGCATCTGTGTATTGTATAGAGCATACTGGTACTAAGTTCCTTAGGATTCCTTACATAAGAAGTTTCAAAGATTCATTCTTGTGTTTCACCTGCACAATGACCTTCCAGCTCTCGATACACCGGTAGACCAGAGCACAGTTGCCGCAGGTCCCCAAGCTTCTCAACCAGATCATGGAACCCCTCCAGCTGTCACGTCAACGCCTTCATCAGCCTTGCCAGGGGTGGCTGGCCCGTCGAAAGCTACGGCAGCAGCACCGCCTCGTGCCAAGCAGACACTGAAGAAGGAGCCTGTTCGTAAGTGTCTTCCTCCTCCTTCTCCTGTTGCTCATCTTGTGTATGTTGGTTTCCTTGTGTATTTTCTTTATTTATGGGCATTTGTGTGAGGTCATTTTCTTAATGGTACTGTATCACTGTAGCTATTTTTGTGATTTGTTAGCCAAGGGTCTTTCTGTAACAGAAAAAAAGGCTATCTGATTCTATGATTTTGTTTGTTGATGCTTTAATAGTAATGGCCAAACAAGAAAAAAACATGGAAGGATTTTCTTCTTAATTTTCTTGATTTTTTTCCAAGACTTCCTCCTCTTTTTCTCTCCTTTTTCTCCCCTTCTTCTCTCTCTTCTTCCTCTTCTTCCTCTTCCTCTTCCTCCTCTTCCTCTTCCTCCTCCCTCCTCCTCCTCCTCCTCCTCCTCCTCCTCCTCCTCCTCCTCCTCCTCCTCCTCCTCTCCTCCTCCTCTCCCTCCTCCTCCTCCTCCTCTTTCTTCTTCCCCCTTTTTCTTCTTCTCCTCCTCCCTTTCTCTTCCTCTTCTCCTTCTCCTTCTCCTTCTCTCCTTCTCCTTCTCCTTCTCCTTCTCCTTCT